TTAAAAGTACCGAATATGATATTTTTGTTACGTGATACACAAGTTTGAAAACGTTTGGCAATAACTTTATACATTAGACTTCAGAATTTCAGCAATTAAAAGAATTTCACTTCTTAAAGATCTGTATTAGCAAATAAAAAAGGCTGATGAAAAACGTTTAATTAACAAAAACCTCGCATCTGGTTGAGATTTCAACTAAAGATCTTGCTTCAGAGTCTTCTTACTTATTGAGTCATCTAGCGTAGAAGCGTGGTATGGTAATTTTCTACTTAAGATGGAACCCAGAACTGCGACCTTGGCGATGTGACCTGCTGACGAAAGCAATCTAACGCTGCAATATGACTTCTCCCGCCTTTCATAAATTTGCATTTATTAAGGAAGGAAGCTTACATTCATTATTAAAATAGCTGCTTTCGTATTCTTAAGAATTTAGATGATGGCATCTGGATTCACGATAGAAAATCTTGCCGTTATAAAAGAAGCTCTCTGACTAGAGCTTTTAATAGAAAGATTCATTTTAATTAACATTGTCACCCCTGAATTTTCGTTTTACTTTCCCCGTTTCATCATGGACATTTATTAGACAAATAATGAGTTACTTTTAGTGTAAGTTTCAAAGATACTAATAATGAACAACAAGAATTGGCTTAAATTCTGTAGATTTGCAATACTGCAGTTTAGAAGGTTACAGAACCATCATCTTCAGCTAAAGGAGGGAAAATGGTAACAAAGGAACACGTGTACATGTCATTCTCTGCATGTCTCTGCATGTTCCATTTCTCTGCATGTCATAAACACGTATTTCTTACGATAATTGCAATACTATTTCTTTCATCATTTTCAGTCCTGCAGCTGAAGAAGAATGTTCTATATAATCTTCTGAGGTATAGTACTGCAAGTGTACTTACGTTACGCAGATTCTTGTTACTTATTATTAGTACTTTAAACAACTATTTTTCAGTATTTTTTCTTGTTGCATTTTTTATGTATTTTTAAGTAAATCAAAATCTCTGAGAGAATTTAATTCGTTAATTAAGAAATCAAAAGGTAAAGAATGCCTTTCACTGTATTCATTTATAACACAGGCGTTAATTATGCATAAAGATAAATTAAGAAGTTATCAATGTCATATAGGTTGATAATCTAGACTCTACGAAGGATACTGAATAATTATGAAACAGCACGAAACAAGTTCTTTAAAAAGATGACCGAAAGAAAAATATATTTTCCAAAGAGAGTGTTATTAATAAATGTTGGAAATTTAAATCATTATTAAGCTTTTTAAACCGCCAAAATTTTATGCGCTGAATTCTTATTTAAAAAAGAAAAAAAAGTCACTCATTTTTACTGAAAATAATCAGTTTCTTTTTCTTTCTTTCTTTTCTTTTTTTTTTTTTTTTTCAAAAAAATACATTTCTCTTTAAGAGGGGGGGGGCAGAAATGCAGCAAAGTTGTGAAATACGGTATTTATATAAGCTAATTGATTTTTATATAATAACTAGTAAAAAAGCTAAATTTCATAAGTAAGATACACATCACAAAGCTGAACACTGCACCGAAATAAGGTTTGTTTTTTCATAATTTCATGATAAAAATAAAAGAGCGCAACTGGCTGTTTTAGAAAAGCACACCTATGAAATGTTTATAATTCATGTTTAAAATAACATAATGAATTTATTAAGTATAGGTACATAATATTAAGCCCAAGTAGACTGAAAGGTATTTTCTTGTTATTTTAACACGCCAAAAATGCGTTTCATGCATATCTGAACACCTTTTAATCACAAAATTAGGAAAGATCGGGTTTTTAGTTCGTCTTTCTCTGGATGGAAACTATTAATAGAACCTCACATATCCAAACTAATGGAGGAAGGGCATTTTGCATAAAATTATATTTTGGTTAATACATAGGAACTAGTTTTCATAATTAAAGGTAGACTAAACGCAATAACATTGCTAATCAAAACTATATTTTACAGTGCGTTTGTATATCTACACTGAAATTTCCCACATACCTGACAACACCGCAAAAAAATAACTTAACTAACTGTGTTGAAGAACACTGATTATCATGTTCTCTAACGTTACCAACTTCAAAAAAAAAAAAATCAATAAATCATCTAATACTGCTAAATATTGTTTTAGGGAGATCACTGTATGTATTGTAATAAAATTAATTAAAATAAAGAGGAATTTTTTCTCTCCTCGCATTGTCAATGAGCACTTCGCTATTCTTACGTTGGATAATTAGAACATATGTTACGGTGAAACACCGAAATCTGGAGAATGTCGACTTTCACCAGTGAATGTCAACATTCACATAGTCTCTTGGTGTATGTCCGAAATATTTTCCAAATACTCTTATTTCTGATTTACACCGGTCAATGTCGACATTCACCATGTACTAATGGGTAATGTTGAACTTATAACAATATTATATTTTCTTCTCCGTAATCCGGTCGCGAATAAACGCACTTGAGACTTGAAATAAGAACTTAAGAACATGAGAACCTAAAACACACAATACATTCAAAATGAGAAAGGAAAATAATAGAAGTTAAAAACTTACTTAATTATACAGTACGTTCTAAATGAGAAATAAAATAACACGTAATAAAAAAATTTACTAAATTATGTGATTCAAATCATATTTATTGCAACAACTTAAACTATTATGGCACTTTATGACCTCTCTTTTCGACTTTCACCAGAGCATATCTGTGATTGTCTACATACACCGGTGAGGGTCCGAATATACAAGAATGTAGTGAAATATTCGGTCTTTCACCGACGTATTTGGTGAATGTTGATATTCTCCGGTGAAAGTCGACATTCTCCAATTTCGGTCTTTCACGGTAACATATGTTCAATCACCTAAGTAGTGTAACTGGAAGAGAAACACGTCAATGTACAATTAACAACTAAGAGAAAGAAACTTAAATTGGTGCAAATTTTGATTACAAAGCTACCAGTTTCGAAGATGATCAAGTATAGGTTCCTGTTCTTCAGGAACATGCTCCTGCATAAGAGATTCCTGTGTCTGTTTTTCCTCAAAATTGATAGATTTTTATTCAATATATAGGGCGGTCTAAGATTGAATTTTTGCCTAATTTTAAATTCATCTATCATTTTCAGTTTATTTTCAGTTTATCATCATTTTCAGTTTACTGTTTTCGATCGCAATCAGTAGTTTGTTGCTGTGAAATCATTTGTTTTCCTCATAAAATATATATTTATTTCTAAAGAAAGAAAAATTGGGTTGAGGTTGGGGATTGAATCAAATAGGAAATGTGACTGGTTTGTGGACTCATTTATTCAAGGTTATTTTTCTTCAGCATTTCGGCGAAGCCAAGTTGAGATTAAGGAAAGTCTGGCACAGAATGATTTTCCTATATACGGGAAAAAATTAGACGTAACGGTACTAATACGCATAAGGATACGATAATTCTAGTAGCATCAAAAATGATCTAATGTGTTTTATTAAAAGAAAGCTATACGACAATAATAAACAGAAATAAATGAGACAACGCAGGGTGCTGGAATGGATGAAAGAATGTGACAAGTCCTGAGTAATATGCAGCTTCGCCTTTTTCTTCTTTATCAGTACCGTGACTACAATAAAGACTGAGGTGCTGGATAGATAACTGATTGCTGGATAAAGAAATATAATGGTCTACGTCGTATGCGCTAAAGGGGTGAGATACTCTAGGTCATTTCTACCTCCGTGTTGTGAAAGCAATCTGAAACGCCTCGCAGAAGGCAAAGTCTTCTATTATCCATTTGAAAATAGTATTATACGTGATATGTCGAGGCGATATAAATATATTTCGTAATAGTATGTTAGCAATAATATTGTTGATAAAATATGATCATCAATTGAAATCGATATTTCTTAATAGCAAGGCACTCAACTAACTGTTAGCCTGGAGCCCACATTATTTTGATGAATATATAATATTTGGCTTTCATTTGTGTTTTCGACGTATGTGTACTGAAAATTACCGCATTCATCATTGAACTGTACAATTGCAATATTATTTGTCATGAAGAAAAACTGTTTTTGCATTGCTGTAAACATATTCGACAATATGAGAAGGTTAAAAATGTTAGCAAATGGATGTCCGTAATTATTATCCGTAATATCTCTGTCAAATAATACATCGGATTGTACTGGCAAGCTGGGATACATTCATTGCATATCTTTACTACCCAGTTACTGATATATAAAGTTTTAGTTCTTAGTCCTGTGAATCGGCATTATGATCTCTTAAAACGTCTGAAAATCGTCTGAAAGCACCCTGAACTTTGCTTTCGTTTCATAGAACATTAAGTTGTCTACTCTAAACAACATAACAGAACAGTATATTTATAACATTCCGCGCACTATATAAGTTTTAATATAAATAATCTCCTTTTGTTAAATCAATAATATGCTTCCTTAAATATTGATACCTGAATAAATTCTGCCTTCTATTACTCTTAATTATAATACAAAGGCTCAATGCATTTCGAGAGACAGAAAAAGACCTCTCTCATTTTCAGAAGCAAGTAATCCTGCGTTTTAATTAATTTAGTTTAGTTCCTAGTTCCTCCCCCCCCGAAAAAAGCACAAAATTTTATTGCAATCAGCACATAACAAATATGAAATTCTACTAAACTTTCAGTTAATGACACTTCTGCATTTGTCTAATGCCCTACTTTTAAAAGTTTGCGAAATGAATGTTACATCGCATCCCATGTGTTTTAAGGACACAGTATTCAAGATAATAATTTTCGATATTACTGTGGCAATAGAGGCTTTAATAACCGTTGCTTTCTCTGCTGTTTCTATATTTGGGAGAATAATCCTTCATAAGATAGGTAGAAAATTTTAGAGTGGGTTTGCATCGCAAGCATGTCAGCTTTAACAATAATATCTCAAAATAAGATGACAAAGAATTTGAATGCCATGAGACAAAAACAAATCAAAAAGAAACGAAAAAAGAAGCTTAGTTACTTACCAATCGGTATGATGGTCGTCGATCACTAACAATGTTTTGTATTTATCCTTCGCTGAAGGGGCTCTAACTCCTGAACCTACTGTCACGGAGTTCGCTCTTTGTTGGAAGGCGGGCATGTTTTTGGAAGGGGATGTTGGTGCGCTAATAGTGGTCCCTTGGCGCACATGGAGTGCCAAGTCCGGTTCCTGAGACTGAGAAACATCATTCTGGCCATCTTCCCCTTGCTGCTCGATCCGCCGTTCCTGATCGTCGGCTAGTTCCCCTGGATTTAGAAAGAGATATACAAATATACAAATTTTCTCACATAACGATTTTGATATAATATCTGAAGTTGTTTATGAAACATGTGAACTAAACGGAATGCCTAGGAAGAGCAAATGAGCTGGTAATGATATGAGATTTATCTGCATTTAATTTTATCAAAAATCTTATTCTTTCATAGGTACAAAAGTTTACTCCACTTAGAATCACGGTCTCAGGATAGTAAAATTATCATGCAATGATTGAAAGAGGGAAGTTATTTAACAAGCTACTTGCTATACGATGCATGTACTGTTGATTTCATCTTTTTTTTATATTAATGCTGAATTTATCGCTGCAAACCATTTACTTTTATTACATCTCTGAATCGTACATTATACAACAACTTACTGATAGTCATTTTTTTATCGTCTTAAACTTTCAGCTAAAGAAAATCAAATCAAATTTATTATTAAGCACAGTTACAAAATTATTTATGAGTCTTCGAAATAAAACACTGAAAGTTCGGGGGGATTATTAAGTTAAAATAAATTCTCTTATGATGAAATCTTTAAATTCTTTACATAGTCTTTCCCAATGAATCAGGTATAATAATTGTGCATCTAGACTTACCTGAGAGGTCACCCGAAGAGAATCGCCTCCGCAGATAGCTGGTAGTGGAGGCGAAACTCTGTTTGAAGCTTGAGAACGAAATTTTGGCGTTAGGTGAGGGATTCGTGTCTGCACAGAAAACTACAGCCCGTGGCTTCACTTGCTGAGGATCTTCGAGGGCGATCAGCCCTCCTTAACAAAGCACTTTAGAAAGCTAAAATGAAAAACACAATTCTTTGAACAAATATTTGACTTATTATGTAATATTTTACAACTGAAAAACATGAAGTTAATCTAAGACACAAAATCATGTTCATCATTTCGTGATGTACTCTTTTCGAGAGGAATATTTTATTAGTTAACTTTTTCTGCAAAGCTTAAGCATATTGTTAAACTCTCTTAAATCACTTAGCTATTATGTAATCTATGAGAAAAGCTAGTGCATGAATGCAAAGACCAAAAAAAATATTGAAGCTTTAAATATGTCTATCTAATTCAGAGGATGAAAAACGCAAACAAAAGTTAATTCTCATTGGCAATAAAAATTAATTCATTTTCAAACTTTTCGCTATCTCAGGAGTTAAAGTCTTTAGTTGTAATGCTGTAAGATGGCTAAGAATAGCAATCAGTTCATTTAAGTCCTATTTTATGAATTATATTGTAATTAAAATTAAAAATGAAAATTAATGAGATTGTATTAAGATGCATTCATGATTAGTTTTACTGATAATTATTACTTTTTTCCCTTTTTCCATGCTAATTTTTATTTTTTTCACAAACTTCTGCATTTTTGTTATAGTACTTGCCAGATTGTAACAGAATATAACTGCGATAGAATTCAGCTATTGGTTCGCCACATGATTTAATCTCTGAGTTACTAACGTTAAGTTAAGTTTCCCTTCGGGAAGGAACGGGATTATGCATGTTTCTTTACATCTTTGTCTATCGTGTTCGAGTCCGCGGACAGTTGTAGCACTGAAAGGATTAACACTATTCATTATAGTGAATCTGAAATAGAAAGGAAGTAAATAATTAAAATTTTGTCACCTATTAATTTCACAGTTATCGAAATTGGTTATTTCTGAATTCTGTTATCGTTATTTCCCAGGCTTGTGTACTGCTAAATTTGGCCCTGAAATTTCAAAGTTTCCCAAAGTATGATGAATACGTTACATTTTTTTATTTTAATTTCAAAATGACCCTCTCCCTTGACTTCGTTTTCTGTTAACATACTTCCAACAGAAAACCGATTAGATCACGATGTTTGCGCTAGCAGCAATTTTCATGTGTAAAGAATTGGAAAGCCATCTTTCTGTAAGGAAATTTCATTAGAGAGTCAAACGAGATAATGCACGACTTTGAGAGATAATGCTGCCCCGACTTTTCTCGATACGCAGAATTTAGAACTGTTAACCAGGCCAGCATGTTCTCCAAACCTCTCACCCACTGAGAACATCTGGTAATGGGTCCCCAAGACACCACTTGCTAGCCCCTATGATTGATAATTGGCACAGACCTGAAGCTCTGAGGAATGAAGTACCTGTATTTGTCATCAAAGTTCAGATCGACTCGATGCCCAGTCGCATTACTGCCACTGTTGGTGCTAGAGGTGACAGTTCTGTATATTGAATTCTGCACGCTGTGTACCCCAATCCACTTGAAAATTTAATCATGGATTCCTCCCATTATACTATATACGTACGATAAATAAAATTTCGATATTTGCTTTCCTTAGGGGTGAAGCAATTTTAATGGCCAGCAGTCTATATTGCAAAAACATTGTTTTGCTCTTCTTATTCGGTAAAATTTGCGTCATTATTATTTAAAATATTATCATTTAAGATAATGTGAAAGCGTTTTAATATGATCTTGCTTCATTGCATCTTGTATTATCAGGTTCAATGTTCCGTCTTACTTTCTTCGGGAACATGCAAGGACCTGACTCGGAACAGAGAGCTTACTAAAGCTATGTTCAATAACTGTGGGAAGTAGACAGGATACACAAGAAGGGTATACAAAACCCTTTATTTTTCTCTATTTACAATAACTTCCGTACTTCGGAATACAAAGACCCACTACTTGTGGTCTAAACGTAAAAATATAAAAATAAAACTAAACTCTTAACTTTGAAATAATAAACGTGGAAGATTGGCCTTATATTAACAGGAAGCCGTATGTAGTACAGAGAACTGTGAACACTACAATACGTTTAAAATTATCAAGAGGATTAAAACCTCTGGCCTGGAAGGCAACCAGCAACTGAGTAAAACTTCTAAGGTAAGCGGCCTGCTTCGACTAACTGCTTCCTCTCTTTCGCTTGGCAAAAAGCCACAACTTAAATACTTGGCGTTCGCCAGACAAACTTTGCATAAATACGTTAACGCTTATAATTCTGGCCGGAAGTAGAAAATAAGAAGTGATAGTAAAGATTTAAAATAAAATAAACGTTAGTAAAACTTAAGATCCTTACAGTATATACCACAAATTATAAAAATTGAAGGTACATCTCTTAATATTCCTCTCGGTTTATACATATATATATAAAATTACAACTTAAAAAAATGAAGGTAGGTGCATCTCTTAATATTCCTCTCGGTTTATACATGTATATGTAATATAAATAATAAATATAACACAAATTAAGAATTTCAAACCCAGTATCTAATTATGCTCTGTAAGCTACAATAACTGATGGTAATATTAAAAAAAATAAAACAAGAGATTAAATTCAATACATATTCAACCTGGAATAAGTTGTATACAAAATAAAAATAAAAATTGTTTACAAAAGCAATAACCCACTGTGAATAAAGATTCATGTCCAGCACTGAAATCAATAGGTGCCTAAATGCATAAAAATTGCAAAAAATATTTCAAAAATATAAAGTGCAAAAAAAAAATCGTGCAACAAATTTCAAAAAGGTAGTAAATGCAGAATTTAGATCTCTGTGCACCTCGTTATCAGCACCTCGTTATACCATCGTGTTGATGTATTAAGAGATGCAAATGAATCAGCCTGCTTCTGACTTGATACTGATAAAAATTTACTAAATTTAAAACTTCAATTTAACGATAAATATGTTTGTGTTTTCATTAGTCCAACCCCCACGGGTTGGAATGAACGGATCATTTTGCCCAATTTTCTGCCAATCCAAAATCCGTTAAGATCCAAATAATTGCAGAAATAACATGAAAACCTTACAAAACCTAAACAACCTTGATTTAAAATGCAAATCATGTCGATCAGAATAATTCTAAATCCAATAGAAACAACTACAGCAGAAACATTTCTATCGTAGCCTGTAATAAACAAGTTATTCATCTAAAATTTCTCAGCAATTCTGCAAAGTATTAAAAATAAAATTAAATTTGAATAAACAATCTAGAACCCCTACAAATATTAAATCTATGTATATTCGAAGTACTGGGTTGTTCTAACAGTAACATGTGCTATGATGCAAAATACCACTTGAAATAATTTTGCATCATGGGCGGCTTCGGGGTTTTCCTCATATCTAACATGGATAAGAGCCAGTTTCTCTTAAAAAGTTCGCTGTGTAAGCATCCTTTTCCAATGGCAAATATCCGTAGAGTTGCTTTGCCTTATTCAGTAAACCTAACCTAACATACGAGTATTTTAAATCAAATGTAAGGTTTTGTTGCTGTTTCTACAATTATTTGTATCTTAACGGATTTTGGATTGGTCGGAAATTAGGCAAAATACTTTGCTTATTCCAGTCTATAGAGGCCGGACTGATGAAGACACACATTGATTTGTAGTTAGTAAATTTGTGTCATCATCAGTTCAGAAACAGATTTATCCATTTGCTTCTCTAGATACACCAACACATTGACGATGTGCTAAGAGATGTAAATTTTTTATTATTTGCGCTACCTTTTTGATATATTTTTGCATTGTATTTTATTTTCACTTTAAATTTTCGCAATATGTTTTGCATTTTTTATGCATTTATGTATTACTGATTTCAGAGCTAGACATAATTCTTTACCTCACAGTGGTTTATTGCTTTTGCAAACATTTTTATTGGTATTTACTTACTCCAAGTTGAATATGTATTGAATTTAAACATTTTTATTTTATCTATATAAAAAGCAAATCTTTGGAAGTTTTGATAACATACATCTTGCTGCGTGATTCTCGGGACCGCTTAATACTCTTTTTTTTTTTTTTTTTTTTTTTTTGTAGTTACTGACCTTCTATAAAATAAAAAATGTACTAATGCAGTAATAAATTAAAGTGCCACAATCATACTGAAACTCATGTTACCATTTACGTGCAACTGGAGTACATTAATCATTGGAGACGCACAGCCTTGCCACAAGATATGAAGGAGCTTATACTACAAAACAGGGAAATGAATAGAGAAAGAATAATGATTGTACATGAAAAAAAACCGCCGCCTTTATACCCTTTTCTGAAACAGGTTCTTTGCTTTGTAAAACGCAGTGTGGGGAAATGGTGAGCGTCTTCCAGAAGCTAACTACGTACCGTGTAAACCTTACATTCTACAATTCAAAATGTTCGCTTCGGTATGTTCTATGACCCCTTAAAGTTTGTTCCATTAATTCTGGAACACTCTGCATTTGTAATAGTATTTAAGAAGCCAGTATCTCAGCGGCCATTCCAGCTCTGCTATATTTTAAAGACTTCATTCTACAGAACAATGCCTTGTAACGGGACTAAATGCTATACCTAAGACAATTAACGTATACCTATGATTAAAAAGGGAGGAACAAATGGTAGTTTTAGTTGTAAAAAAATTGAGAGATTTATTTATCATAACATTCTTAACTCCCTCCCTAGGGCCCCGCTAGTAGCTGAATGATTAAGACTACTGAATACTTGTAGCTCCTCTTGATTTGGATTCGGATTCAGGCAAGCGGGCTGGTTTTATGATTGGGTTTTCCCAAGTGTAAAGTGAATAAGAGCCAGTTTCTCTCAAAACGGGCTCCACGAAGACATCCCCCCTCATATGTAGGTAGCTCTCATGCTTTTACCTATTATTCAAACAGCCTAAACTAACTTCTTCCCTAACACTGCAAAATATTGTTTAAGTATCTAGTCTTTTCTGCTGCAGTAATGTTCAAACCCTTCTCTGCAACATAACCAAGTATTATAGAATAGTCAACTGCCAATTTACCGCCTCATTATCGTGGATGAAGGCCACGGTTAATTAAAAATTATGGTTAATCAAAGGGTAGTTAAAAAAGTAGTAAAATAAAATAAACCATTATAATTTGCAGAAAAATACCATTAACAATTGACATGCATTTTCAAGTAGTTTATGCTGGATAATAAATATATTTTATACGTTAATTAAGTCAGTGTTCAAACAGAAAGAATGCATTGTAAATAACGGAAGAATAAGCGTCACTAGAAATGAAGAAATTAAGTTATTTTTTAATTATTTTACTAATGAATGCCAAGCATTAGCGCTTAACTCATTACTTCACGGACTCTCTAGTACTTTTTAACAATGTCCTAATACCGAGAAAGTGCAATACAATTATTTAAATGTACAAAAACCATAGGCTGATTGGAGTCACACATGATACAGTTTGGGGAATCCACCACTACAATTCTAAATCATTACTCAATTAAGTTAGGTTATAATTATAAAACGTTGAATTACATTATTACTAAAACGCATAAAAAATACACACACAAATAAAGTAGAAAAAAAACGCGTAAACTATAAATAAATTCAATCTATTCTTCTGATATCACGCTTACTTAATTATCTATTACCTAAAACACAAACAAATATATTAAAAATATAATTATGCATTATTTTATGGCAGAAAATGTAGAGGTACAGACTGAAAATTCTTAAATAATCGACTAATTTCGTTAACAACTCAACGAATTATTTACCGAAAAAACCCTTATATTTCTTTCATTTTGGTTTCGGAAAGAAAATTCTCATTTCTTTCAAAGAATTTGTTGTTGTTCTGCTGATCAAATTCTGTAAAGAAA